TGTTAACAATTTAATTGCCTTCCTAAAATACCGACTTACACGTCTATAGTTTAAAGTCTTTGACTTTTTCCCAGCAGTCAAGCGTGACCATTGTCGATAACAATGGCTATAATTAAATTGGAGCTAGTGTGCGTATGAGGGGGAGGCAGATATCAATCGATTAATGACTGTTAGAAAATGGCACACTAAAATGGTTATCACTTGGCGTTCTACGTTATGCGTTAACACATTTGATTTACGAGATGGAGGAGTTTTTTTTCTTGTTTTATTGGTGTGTGTTTGCGTGAGCGTATACATATATATATATATATATAGACAGGGTATCAATAGATTAGAGTAGAAAGATATTGCAATTATGTAGTCTATCATACAAATGAGAAAAATAATCTAAATTGTTAAATCAATTTATAGGCATAGATATGTATCCTAATTTTTTGTCAAGTTGTACTGTAAACTTCATCGTATAATAGAGTAAAATAATTTTTTATCCACATTGGGAAAGAATCTAATTTGACGCTTTCCAATAAATGAACCACGTGTTATGCAGCTATTGATTGAAGTATTCAACTCGATCATCAGATAGGAAGAGAGTCCAGTCAGGAAGTATAATTCCTATAGGATTTATAATCAACCATAAATTAGCAATCCAGGAGTGGTGGTAACCACTGCTACCTTGGACGTCATGATTTTCATTTTTTGTCTTGTCAATGATAACAATAAAAATGGACAAGCATGATGAAGATTGTTTGATAGACTCGATCTTGAATAGTTTTCATCGTATTGACTGGGATAAAATCAATTATTTCCTATCTTTTATTTTATGAATTTTTCACTTTTCTTTCAATGTGATCGATTGGATGATTTATTTTTTCTTTATCTTGATATTGTTCTCCAACTTATTCAATTTTACAATTATCTTCCCCACTTTCATCCTGTTGTATATATATGGATATACTTATGTGCCTATATATGTATGCAAGTGCATGTTTGTGTATGTGTGGCATCTCTTCTTTCTCTCCACCCCCATTTTTCCTCGTCTTTCTTTTTCGTTCTCTTCAATCTTTTCTTCTTTAGTGGATTTTTGTATTTTTAATTGTCAGTTGTAATCATTGGAAGGAGGGAGGAGCAGGTAATGATGAATGAACTTTGGTCGTGATGACTTTTATTATCAATCTGCACATTATTATCTACAGTTACTTGCAATTAGGCTATGAACAACGCGTGGGTGTATATTATTGTCCTATTAAATTAAAAAGTCCACCTTCAAAATTGGTAGTATGATAAATTGTGATATTTTAAGACTACCCTGGGAGTTAGTCAATGATTCGTAGACTCGAAGTGTGATACGGTAGCAAAGAAGGAGAGAGAAAGAGAAAAAAAAATTCTTTTTAAAAAATTGATTATCATTTAAACTCAATGGATGAAATTCAGTTATTACCTTGTCCTTATTTAGATACACAAGTCAGTAATTTCCCAATCGTCACCGTCAAGACTGATGGCGAAGCAGACAATGTTCATAATTGTACCACCAATGTCAGTTTTGATGCAAGTAATCAACGCTACGTGAATGAACAACATTCTCCACCAATTCATCATACGCCGCCATCACCATCCAATCAACATCCTCATCATCATCATTCACTTCATCATCACCATCCTTCTCTTCCACATCATCAACAGCAACATCCACAACAACAGCAACAACAATCTCAACAACATCAAACTTTATTCAGAAGGTTATCCGATAGTAGCGCTTATATATCAACTTTAGCCAGTCAGGAGAAACAACAACTAATGCGTCGATCGTCAGACAGTACTTCACTGATGGCCACAACTAATGTTGATCGATTGAATGTGAGAAGATTATCCGATGGGATCGCTTTAAATAATGGCCATTTCCATCCACCCATGTTTAATAATCAATGCCAGCAGCAACCAACTCAACAACAGCAACAACAAGCACCACCACCGCCACAACAGCAACATCAACGTTTATCACCAGCCAATAGCTTAAGTGGTACTGTCTTTTCAGGCAATCCTAATCCATTTCAGCAAGGATTTCCTAACGTTAAGCAAGAGTGTCAAGATAATTGTTATGATGTCGGTATGTAAGCCAAATGTTAAAAATGTGGGCGAAATCAGTTTTTATATTAATCCACTGCGTTGATGTAAAGTAGTGGGCGATTGATTTCCATCGATTTCTCCATGTTATACAATATCCTATTCGCCATTTCATTTTTATACTTTTCCATTTTTTCTCTCCCTCCCCAATAATAATTAATTATCCTTCTTTTAATTTAATTTAATTTTACTGTACACTAGATAATTACTGACTAGTTCATATAATTTTAGACTTGTTGACATCGGCTAATAAGTAAAAAAAATGGTTGAAGATAAAATGGTTATGCTACTGTACTATTAAATTGGGTAGTAGTTAGTAAAAATGTTAACTTCTCTACATAGCCAGTCATACGCAGTTTACGATCATATAGGATAGTATTATTTCATCTATTATAAAATAGCCTTTCTAGTGGTGTAGTATTGGCTATGGAGTAACCATTATGAAATTATCAGGGGACGTTGACTGCAATATTCATTTTCTTTGTAATATACTTTGTATTTGGCAGAGAATATACTTAATTAAACAACTCAAAGTGTTATGATAAAGTAGACAGTCTTTAGGAGACTAGAAATAGATTAATCGAGTAACAGTTTGATATCCTTTCATCAAACAGAACGGTCTCTTTAGTATTTTCTCGTTATTATTGAATATTTTTAGTTTTGATCTTATTATTGATCCATTTCGATTTTTTTTTCCCCTTATACCTTTCTGTTCGGGGTTGTACGTATGACTGTAATGATTTATAATATAAACATCAGTTGTTAAAAACTTTAGGAATTAATATTAGTAAAATTATCGTAAGTTAGTAAGTTATTGATATTAATTTTACCGTTAAATCAGCAAAAAAGGATAAAAATGAAACTAAACAAGTTAATATAACTCAAAATCGATCTTCATAGAACTATTTTAATATTAGATCGTAAAGTTATAAGGATATTGTAGAGTAAAATTGAAGCTAGGATGGGAGCTATGAAAATGATGATTCCCATAGTGAATGATATGGACTTTGCTGTTGTCTTGAAGCTGTTCTGCTATATGTTAACAACGATCGTAGTTAATTTTTAGAACATCCAATGAAATAGACAACGAAAATAATTAAAACGATAGAGTTGATAGACGTATAGTTAGTATAGCAGTTGATGTATTTAATATCTACAAGTAATTCAGTTAAATAAGTTATAGACTGCAGTATAGATATTATTTCCTATGACTCTACGATAGTTCCAATATGTTATCCTGAACGGTTGGAATTGATCTGCCAAACACTAACGTGATCGACTGTACTACTATCTATTAATGTCATGTTGAATAAACTTTAACGCTATAGATGAAGAAAGATTGATCCTGATGTTAAAGCCATCAAATATATTGAATAGCGAATTTGCTTTCAGTTTAAACAATAAACTATTGATAATCGAAATAAAACAAAGTAAAATTAATTTGAAAATCCCTAATGTTCAAAGAATATCTATTATTATTCAAATCTAACTACCGATGTTTATTAACGTTATAAACTGTAGAAATGGCATCACCATCTTCAGCTATGAGCGATAGTCGAAGTCCATATACTCCAATGGTTAATGCACCAGAAGTTCGATCTCCTTATGATGTCAATTCTATGTATGATGATCATAGTGAACATTTATACAATGATGGTGTCGGTAAGATGCAATCATTAAATTCGTCCTAGCTATTTTATAAGTATTCGTATAATTATGCAATAAAATTTCGAATTTTTTTCCATTATAAATGACCATCATAAATAACTTATTTAATCATCGCATTAATCAGATTACAAAAAAATAAAAATTGTCTTACCGTAAAATGAAGTATTATACAGAAAATCGATCCTTTCAGTGATGCCAACTCCCTTCATGATCAACATACCTTAAATAGATTTTATGCCTATCGAATTAGTAACTGATATCAATTACTTAATCATTAATTAGCTATTATTGTAGAAAGCACACGGTAGTCTATATTTTACATGTATAACGTTTCGTCAGGGAAGAATAAAGGCTTTTCAAAGTGATCTTGATAACTTACTTTATCTCTTCTATTAATCATCAACAATGTAAAAGTTAGTAGTATACAAGGTAATTCCAGATTAATATTTTCTGAATACACATATATAAGACCTAAAAATAATATTATCGTATATGATCTAAAAGTGCGGTCCTTTTTTATTATTTAGATAAAGCTGTAGACGAATCATAAATCAGCATAGTACTACAGCCAATATAAAGATCATTCCAAGTTTTTAACATATTGCGTGATTTAAATATAGGGAAATTAAGTAAATGATTTACTCGTCGCAAAGTTTTCAATCCTTTTATTGTTATAGTAATACAAATTAGCTAAAGTCATAAAAAATATTCTCGTTATATAGTGTTATGTAGTTAAGGTTCTCTATTCAACTATGACTTTTTAATAATTATGTACATAGTCGTCAAATCTAACCTCTTCACTCCTGTGTTAGAAATGGATGTGGGAGTATATTTCGACTGTTAAATATCAAACATTTCCTTTACATCGTTAGCGTAAAAATTTATAAAATCACACAAGAACTAGTAACTCAGTGCCTTTACTTGACTAATTTATTGCCATTTATTAAAATATGTTTATATCATCACCTGATTATTACTTCAATCGCAAAACGTGTTATAAAATATACCTTTTGCTGAGCGTATATTGACTGCTAATGCAAAATTAATGGCCGTTCAATATACCTTCTTTCTACTCTAGTACTGTATATTAAATGTAACTCAGGGTATGATCGATAGGAATTATCATTGTCAATATTTTAGAAACAAATTATCTTTATTTGTTTTTTGTAGCAGTTGCTGAAAGCAAAGGTAGATCTGAAGGTTATGATCTACCTACCTTTCAACGCCGTGGCTCATTACAGCTGTGGCAATTTTTAATAACTTTGCTAGACGATGCTGAATGTAGTGGCATTATCTCATGGACAGGGCGTGGAATGGAATTTAAATTAAATGATCCAGAAGAAGTTGCACGCCGATGGGGACAACAAAAGAATCGTCCAGCCATGAATTACGATAAATTAAGTCGATCGCTACGCTACTACTATGAGAAAGGTATTATGCAAAAGGTAGCTGGAGAACGTTATGTCTACAAATTTGTTTGTAGCCCAGACGCATTATATAAAATGGCTTATCCTGATGCTAACAAATCAGTTCCAAGGCAAGAATATCGGTCACCTTTAATTCAACAGGAACATCCTATTATAAACATCTCGAGTGTACGCCATCAACCGCCTTTTCAACGTTATCTTGATCAAACACACTATCCTGAACCCGGTCGTTATATTGAAAACTGTAATAGCAACACGGAATGGCAAAGCAACATTATGTAGGCCATCTATTTGTAGAGACTTTTTAATGTAAACCTCCCTAATCAGAGTCAATGATAATGATTTAATTGTGATTAAAAATTTAAAAAAATTGACACATTGTTACCTGCCTAAAATGTTGCACACACTGTTATGATCAACTCGGTACTGTAAACTTTTTATTTGTAAGGCTTCATCACCAATGTAAGCATGTGATATGTACATATACGCGTATATATATATATTGATAATATATATATATATATATATATATATATTGATGCTGTACTGCATTTGTGTGTTTCTGTTTGCTTATATATGTGTACCTGTATATATGTACTGGATGCGCTATATATATTTACAAGTGTGATTATGTTTATAATTATGGAAATGTTTCTCAATCCTCTCGTAAACGCAATTTTTTCTTGGCCTCATTTTATGATGACTAGCAGCTGACGTTTTCAACCTTAACCAGGCTGACCAATCAACTTGAGATATGTTTAAGCTTAATTCGTTCCATTTCTATTTATCGAATGCTGTTTATATTGTTTAACGTATATTAAGTATCTGCATTGTAAAAGTAATCTATAGCCATATTTTATGTCGTTGCCATGTAACTTTTTCGCTACGTGGAAAAGTGAAATTAGTTTATATATTGAGGTAATAGCTATAGAAACATTATTGTTAATTAATTAAGGAATATTGTGATGATGATAATATCCGCCACAATAGCATAATTATGAATTCTTGTCAAATATGCTATTCGCTGAGTAGTATTCACAAAGCAGTCTAGCCTAGTAATGACAAGTCATTAACAGCTGGTAGTGATAGACTAGATAATTTCACGCTAAGCAGATTACTTTTTGTGTCTATTGAGGCAGTAATACCACTATAGTAGACTAATGTAGGTATTGTTATGTAACCATTTTATTAGCTCGCCTTATTTCCTCTGCTACTAGTATTATCGCGATCTATTCACTTTTCTGTATAATAGAATTACTACACATATAAATCGCTTGTAGGTGTATGTATGTATGTATGTGTGTGTATGTATACATGTGTGATATGCGATAGCTATTTGCACGATAGATGTTCATGTTTAAAGTGTATATGAATACCTTTATGTAGCGGCTATGTGCATGGCCGGCCACATGTAAATATTTATTGTGATTCTAAGCCTAACTATGTTAAAATAGCATATTATGTCTATTACTTATTTATATACGTATACTTGTAGATATATATCCTTAAACATGCAATTGGACATGCCTACCAGTTAATATATACAGCTGTAACCAAGTAATAACATTTATGCTAGTATAAGCAATATGGACAGCGTGGTTCAAGAAAAGAATAAGGTCAAATGAAGACGCAAAGACAGGAATATTGCGCATGAAATTCAACACTTTAAGAATGTTGCTATATGATGAATTGAGGATTAATAACATGGGTTTTTATTTCTTGGCCTCGGACTAGGTTCCAACGCTAATTTAAAGAGACAACAAAAATTTCGCCTCTTGCTGCTATTAACAAGATAACTAATAGTTTCATCGCTGCTACTCTACGTTGTCTTTAAAAGTGAATCCACTTTAATACAATGAAAGCCTGCAGTACTATTCTGCCTCTTAGCGCTATTAAGAAGATAACTAATAGTTGCATCGCTGCTACTCTACGTCGTCTTTAAAAATGAATCAACGTTAATACAATGAAAAGCCTACAGTACTCAAGTTAAAACTAAGATGGTAACATAGTTTTGCCTTCGTACTATCGATATCATCCAATGCTATTGCAAATAAATACCACTATGCCTTAAACCATAATGGAAGGTTTAATAAGGTCTGACGATATAGAATGTTCTCGATAAAACGTACGATTGCTATCTAGGCCATTACGTTGCTACCCGAACCTGGCCATTTATAACGGTACCGGTAACCATACTATGTCAGTCCGTTGGCAAGTAATGATTGACTTCTTACAAGCTTTCTATTAGTCCATGGCCACGTTGAAGTCTAGTAGAAGTAGTCAGTGTACCTCATTTGCCTTGGATGATTAATACGATACCGTGATGGCTTTTACATCTGAGAGGTAGGATAGGATTCATCGCAGAGCAAAAGAATCATAAATGCCAAGCTAGAAAAGATGGTCCCACAACTTTTTTTTCGTGATAAGAATGGTAACCGTTAAAGGACAAGCTACAATAACTAGTAATTGCTAAAAGTGTTATATCAGTCATCGCCTTGTACAAAATTACAAATGAAATACGAATTGGCATGATGGAATAGCAAGAACTTCAACGACAGCAATAACATTAGCAAAATTTAAAACATTGTCGGTATGGTATTCGAATGTATAGGTGTATGCATACCTTGAGTTGTAAAAAGAAGAAATTTCAAGTCATATAGCTGAGACAATAATAAAATAATTTGTTATTTGTTAGCCTCGCTATTTAAAAGAAAGAACGAAAAAATTTTGAAATGATCTATAATGGTTTAGATCTCTTTCTAAGGCAGGAAAATAACCCAAGAAGTGAAGTATAAGCATAGCAACATCTAATTAAATTTACTTATAAATTAGCCATAGAGTCTCTACCTTGGTTAGATAAATCTTTAACTGGTAAATATCTAATGTTATCAAAAACATTTGCCATGTATCTATGTATATTTGGGCTACTATCAAATCTTGAAAAGGGTTTTAATTACAGTACATCATCAAATTAGGTTAATAGATTTGGAATGATTTTTAAGCGTTTCAAGCTACGTATATCTTTATTAGTGATAGCGATAAAATGATTCTCTTGCTAGATAAGATTGCTGCTTGATTCAAATTTTTCGTTCAGATTTTCGTGATAATAATTGCGTTTTTAATTTTAGGTAATAATTTAAGGAACGGTCGGCTATAGTAAAGTATAGCACGATCTTATGTGAAGCAATAACTTTAAATGTGTTTAAATTTAATTAGATATTATATAGGGCTTGTGCGAATGTTACTTATAAACTTTCGTCTAAAAATATTCATAGTAATGCTGTAATGTAGCTAGATTAATACTAGTTACGATGATATCTTTGTTTTGAAGCTGGATATACTCGTACATATCTACCACATTAAAGTTGGTTTCTACGCTTTCTACTATTTTAACCCTTGTTTTCTTCACGGTTAATTCGGATTGTATTATCTAGCTGTTCTACGTACTGTTGATTTACACTACTTACATCATGCAAAATAAATAATACTACTAATAATTGCCACTTGCAGATGATATCAAGTTACAATCCAAATTTAACAGTTGTTTTTAAGAAATACCTGTATCAGCTCTATTTCTACGTCCTAGATACTCTTGCAATATTATTAATAATTTATTGACAAATAATTTTCTCAATTTGTGAATTGATAACTTTAATTGTGATTACGATACTTAATTTGACTTCAGAAGTACAGTAATTTGTCCAATTGGATTGTGTAAAAAAGAAATTCCATTTTTACATAACGTCTTTTTTTGGGTCAATCTGCTATTACATTGATGAATAATTCAATTCTAAAGTAGTGACTTAAAATAACAACTGCTGTAATTTTAAATTTCCGTAATAGGATTAAATTTAGACAGACAATAAAATCATGAAAATATAAAGACACTCACAACTAACTTATTGCTAGACAAGCCAGTTTCAATGCATTCTTTGAAGACAAATAATTAAATGATCAATTCCTATAGTTTAAAACATCATTGTTAGTAGAACTACATCATTTTGTTACCTAATAAATGAAAATGGCTCAGCGGGGATGTGTATAGAAGAATCTAGTTGCATCGTTATTACATCAGTCATTATTTGATTTTGACATAACGCTAGAATAGGCGACTTGGTGCTACTTAGGTATAACGTCATTTCATTAATTATTGTGGCGTTTGCCAAGGCTACCATTAGTTAATATAGCGTCAATGATGATTTAATGTCAGTTAGTCCTTTTATTTTCTTTATTGTTAGTAATATAATTCACGCAATGACGCGTGAATTATATTCTAGATCAACGCTATCAATTTCCTGTACAGCCGCTGTTATTTAGAATGACATTAGTATCGAATTACAAAGTTAAAATATTATCTGTTGGGTTTGTATTTAAAATTATAAGAAAATAAATATATCAGTCCAACTGACCTGTGTATATGTGTTCCGGGGCAAACTAAGCAATATTGTACAAACGATTTATTTAAAAGCAGATAAATTTATTAGTTATGCGTAGAATGCTTTGTTATTGAACGAAGAACAACATTTACTGTCGTCATTAACTTAAAATATGTGATCTATTATAGTCACTATTTTAGTTATGATTGCAGCATATCTATTCCTTTTTACTTTGATTTTTCTTTCGAAATCCTCGAGATATTTCCTGCTACTCAACGTCATTAACAGATATAAAAATAGCTAATGCCAAGGATTTGTAACAATTAATAATGCGTACAATAAGTATGATGTCTGTGATAATTAATTGCTCGGAAAGTAAACCCAATAACGTTTATCAATTACCTTCGATCGTAAGTTGTGTTGAATTATACAGTAGTTCTAGCTATAGGAAGCACCTTATTATTTTTCTTTAAAATACATTGATGATTCACAAGAACGATTTATACGTTATTTATTCCATTTTATCCCATGCGTAATAGCTTATTAGGTATGGCATGTCTTTTCCCCTCCATATGCTTAAGAGAAATTGGAAAAATAATATTTATGTAAAATTTAATTACTTTCAATTTGTCTGCATAAATGATCAAAATTATGGACAACAGTAATTTGGAACTATTTCATATATTCGTGTAGCATATTAGAGAATTACATAATTTTGTTAACTTAAAATTAGGGTTATGTGAGCAAAACCGCAGTAATAGTAGTAGACTATTACACGGTCATTACAAAACCTTATACACATAAGAATATCATAAAACTAGCCGAAATATTATCACTTTAACACTTGGTTGATTAGAAAGATTTAAAGATTTATCAATGGTCGTTTGCTCCATCAAGGCCATACTATTAATTAGCCAGACCACTTATTATTATTCTGTTTTCAGGGTAAATATGCTATATTCATCTTACACTAATTTAAATGGCTTATAATAGGGTACGGTACGGTATACAGTAGCCACAATTTGTTTAATTTCGTAGCTTGTGTACGCTTTTGTCAGACCTAGCATTGGAATATAGAATGGGTAACATATGCAGTATGCAGTATTCATGTTGCTCATACAGCATAAGTATAGGTGCATGTGTTCCAGCCGTAAGGCTGCGTCCATTCTCAGAAATAGCTAAAACATTTGCTTACTTAAAAACTGAAATAGACAAACCAGTTGTTATACGCACGTGGCATATCCTTTGCTAATTGTTGTAAATTAAAGTTTATTTATGAATGAAATTGTTAAACAATCGCTACAAGCAATTAAATCATATACCGCATATAAGAGCATATCAAGATAGCTAATTTCAGCAGTATCAGAGAATATGGAGAGATACTGCTAAAGCCGGGTATTCTCCAGTTTATGATAACATAGACTAGCATAACCTACTATTTAAGGACAATTGATGATAATATTTATAAGGGGATGTTATTAATTGGTGTTGAAATCTACAATTAGGGTATTTTTAAGCCATATTAGATATGAGTGACAATATAGTGTACAATCAGGTTTGGGATATTATACGCTTATTACCTTGATATATTTATAGTCTTGTAAGTTATTTTGAGCTCGTTTAACATGCAATAGAGTAAATTTAATAGACTTTTACTACGCGTTTTTTACTTATTAACAAAATTATAGTTTAAATATGGATTTACAGTCTTCGGTTTCATGAAGCACCTATTGTTTGATTCTCATCATTTTCTGAAGCAAGTAAAAATATGCGCTGTAACACGCTATATGATTTGCCTTTCAATATTTAACCACAATGCAGTAGATCAAACGGCTGCCAAAACGTATTCATAGTCGTTGGCATCCTAAGATGCTTTGCGAATTGCTAGAGAATGTTTATGTTTAAAGCATTCCTGCTGTTATGGCATCAAATAATACTCTTTCACGAAATTTATCAATTTAACATTTTCAAATTTAATTATGAAGCCAGAAATATTCCTAATTTCACCATGATTATTTTATGTTAAGAGCTTGAATATCAGAACAGAATTTTAGCATTATTCTTTTCGGATCAAGATCCTTCATTTTTGCAGAGTTGTACTTAAGACTGTATAATAATCCAGTTATTATTTCTTAATTGCTTTATGATTGGGACACTTTAAAACAAGGTGGAGATTAGGGGATAATACCGACTTATTATATTTTATCTATCAAGCCACTTACAGTAATCTGGGAATTTTGCAAATAAGTATAACTATGTGGCTGAATTCTAAATATATTTTAAAGCTTACAACCGATAATATCTATAACGCTTACAGAGAAACTTGCGACTTCTGGTTCAATGATTACTTTAGCTAAACAATTAACTTCTAACGATTTCAATACAACCAGGAACTGCAGCAAAACAAGACTAAAGTAATTTGGACTACTCCACCATTTTATATGCTTCACAGAGCGGTTGGTGGCCTCTCTACTATGAATCATAAATTCTAAAGTAAGCTAAAAGTTATTACCAACTAGGATACTAGCGATCAATCTACATGTCTTAGGACAGATTATACTCTACGATTCCCTTCTACATGGTACATACATATATATAATGTTAAACTTACAATCCTACGGTAAACGAATATTATCAATTAACAATCATTACCAGCCATCCTCAATATTAAGTAGTCAGCTACAATCATAATCATACAATGCAATATTCAACATTCCTTAGTCGGGAGTCAGTTACGACTTAAAAGGACACAGTTCATATAAATATTACATGATATCTATTGACTGGTCATCAATATATTATCAACGATGACTAATCAAGAACTTAAACAGTATTAACTATATTAGCATCTTATATCTTAGTAACGTTAACTATAGTGGAGGGTTCACGTTATACTGGTTGACACAATCCATCCACTACCATCTAAACTAATTTAGATATTATTTACGAGCTATTACATTAAATCTGAAATTACGCTACGGTTCATCATTAAGTCTACCAAATAAAAAAAATACTCTATGAAGGAGACAACTAAATATTAACCTTCATTGCAAATGAGTCTATATGATGTAAGACTAGCAAGATCACTAGTTTGTAAATTTAAACGCGATCCATACTCCTAGATGTTTTGCTAATTTTGCTTCTTTCTTGCAAAATTTTTACGCTGTTACTAACTTAACCTTACCCTAACAACGTTCGAAAATACGTTACGGTGGCTAATTGGATCATGAGTAACAAAGAAACTATTTAGTATTAATAATGCCGCAATGATCTTCTACGTCTCTGATTTTAGTTGTAGCAACGATAAAGCAAGATGTACAGAATATACCTGTCGTATAAAAAGCTAACGAGCTAAAGAATTTAATATATTAGCTGTAATTTTACTCCCTTATAACGAGCAACTAGTAAAAATGGAGTAAAAAGTTTGACCATGATTTAAACCGCCAGCTTATAAAGAGAAATAATTAAGTTAATTCATACTGCATTCTACGAGTAACTAGCAACAATGTTTCAGCTAATTAATTGTCGGTTACTATAACTAACAATCGAAATTTCAAGCACGGTTGTTGTTAAGTAAACATTCATGATGCCAAATACGAGCTGTATTTACACAATTTACATTATGAAGGCATAAATAAAAGACTTCTTTCAAGCAATTATAATGATTTATTTCGCATTCGTTTCCTATATCTCTATAAAATCAGCATGATTTTGATGTTTGTCGTAGGTGTTAACTTTGTTACAAGATGATGCAACCTTATGGATTGCTAAAGCCGTCATTTGATAAAAACTTCGCACTCGAACCATAGAAATGGTTAAGGATATATTTTAAACGATAAGTAGGCTTATTGTACAATTCAAAATTATTTGTTGTTATCATATCTGACTAAACATTATTAGTGTAATCATAACATAAATTTAAAGTTTATCTATTGGGAATAATTTTTTTACATTCATAGCATGTAATGATCAATAAGTATGCGAAGTCGAACTACTGAGCACAGTTGCTAATGGTATTATTGCTCATCTGACACTCCAAAACGATAATAAAGTATGGTATCGCACTCGATAGCGATAATTCTAGTTATTATACAGGTTTGTTGAGATATTTTATTAGCAATTATACATAAATAGAACTAAGCCAAATATTCGTACTCATCCTTGTTGCCCTCCACACGTTGTAAATAATCCTTTTCTATTAGAATATCAATGCATCGCTAAAAGTATATTAGATAAGAATAGAATGTTATCGACGACATGAAAAATAACGTTATCTTCCAAACATTTAATATAATTTCACCTTTATTACAGGAACGTTCGGTTTAAATCTGCTTGATAACTGAGTGAGAACTTCCGCTATTAACTTTTGATGTTGTAAAACTTTTCGCATTTTCATGATCCTTACTATTGCGGCCTAAGGTTGATAGTTACACGACAACGCGTACGACGTAAGATTTAAAAATGTTATCTTTACTAACTAACTAACATCAATGCAAATTAGAAACCTGTATTAACAGTTTACGATCTTCTTCCACATTTCTATGCGTAGACTCTCGCTCTACTTTTTGCTCCGTTTTCAAGGGTACATTGATATTTACTCTCAATTTTTTGCTAAGAAATTTTCAAATGAAGTAAATAAATTACATAAAGCAAATTCATCACTAATACATTCATAAATAAATCCTTTAAAGTTTCATTGTGCGTTATAAATTACTTTTTATATCCAAGGAAAAGTTCTAGCCTATTATTGTATTTAAGTTCCCCAGAATTGTCGAGATCATCGCAAACTAATAGTTTACACTTTAGTAGTATGGCTAATACTTGCTGCAATATTTCCATCTTAAGTTGTGTGTGCTGCTGTAACTCATTGACAGTAAAAATATCTCCTCGATTATACATCAGCAAAATTGCCATTTGAAACGTAGACACCTATTATAATTTCATAATCCAAATCAAGAAGGATTATTGATCTAGCAGAAGATCAGCAATTTTTGATAATACACGCATCTGAACACAGTACAAACCTGCAGGCTATATCTGTTTTTAAAGCAGTTTGTAACAAGTTCTCCCTATTCATAAAGATAAATAGGATTAATTCTAGAGATTATACTCATATTCTTAACACAAAAATCTCATACTTTCGACAGTTGAAATAACCAGTTTAATTTTCGGCCACTATGTCGGGTGCTATAGAAGCCTGAAAACTTTTGTAAGCTTCTTTCCAGCTAATACAATAAGAAATGAATACAATTGCATTTACCAAACTATTTTACAATAGTGCTAGAGACTTCTATCGAATGGATCTTTTTAGGGAACTTAGTTTTATGAAATGAACACGAAATACCTCAGACGGAACAGTAAACTCTGGGCTAGGAGAGAAAGGCCAAGCTCCTGAACTTAAAACTTGAACACTAAAATCAACTGCCAGATAAGAACAAATTGTAATCGTTTGAAGAACATTTTCCAATTCTGTAAAATAACCTGAAATAATAACAAAGATAATACCTGAATTAGTTTCATTAGGCAACTTTCTGAAGTCTTCGTTTAATCCTTTGCTTAGTTCCATATCCTGAAACATTCGTTGCAATTTGGACGTGTACTCATAACCACATGCCTCCTAATAAAAAATAATTATGATAATAATATTGTTAAATATTTCAAAAAGGTAGCGGCACTATCATAAGACTTACTTTTAATTTCGATATCATTGCTGACTCAGCGTTATCTGATGCAGAGTTTTGATTAACTAATCTTTTAGCCAACATTCTGGCGTAAAATTTTTGAAATACATCTTTGTCTTCGATGTACTTAAATACAATCATCTACAAAATAAAGAATGGTACTCCCTGTCAAATAGAAACGCAACGCCATATAATATTTCCAGATGCAAATTAATGTTTCCTTACCACATCATCCAGAGCACTATCGAGTTCATCCTCTTCCGGATTTTTAGCACTAAAATCAACAAATAATTGCATTGCTAGAGTCAAAAGTTGATGATTTATAAACACAGTAAATTTACTAGGATGAATGAGCTGTTTCATTAATTGGGTGTAAGCCTTACAACCTTTTCTTTAGTAAAGAGTCGCAATAACGGGCCAACAATTCAGGAGATTTTGATGATACTTGAGCGGAAGTTTGGGTTACGGCATTACAATTTATGAAGTCTCCACACGCCTAGAGGTTACAGTTTTGATGTGAAGCACTCTTTCTCTGACGTGTATACATATGAAATATAGCTGGACAGTAATAGTTAAATATTCCATTACCTTATCTAACGCAGCCATAAATCCAGAATTTTGATCGAAAGAGGATACCACTAGGTTATGATATTTAGAGTAGACACTTAGTATTGCTTTAACGTAGGCTTTAGGATCCTATAAAGAATAATCAGAAAACAATTGGTCAATACATAATAATCATAGCGTAATAAAACACGATCAATAAATAGCATGAGATCATACATTGGTTGCAGCATCTCCACATTCCTCTATCGATTGACGCCCATGGTCCTTTATGTGTTTTTCTAAAAGACTTTTAAATTTATCTAATCCAGACGCTATATGACAAAGGAGTTTATACATTCGTCCTAGATCTAATTGTAATGTGTATCGTTAAAATATTTGGTATCATTCCAAGTATAGGTGATAATAAAGTATTAAGATTTTAAATTAACCTTCGTTTTTCTCGTCATTGAGGAGTCTGACAAAGTCAGAATGGAATATTTCTAAATGTTTTTCGATTAAGATTCTTTCGCACGATCTTAATAACTGTAAGTAAAAGGTAATGTTATTGTATTGCTTAGTACATTGCAACAACAAAGTTAATATATATAAATCCAATATAAAGTTCTCATTACTGGATCAAGGGTTCTCTCGTGCAAATAATCTTGTACTCTTTTACGTTCTTCGTGTAATCGAGCTTCAGCCTACAATGCATATATACAAATACAGCGAATGAAATACCTCAAATGACACAACACTATCGCACCCTACAGTACATGATATGCTGAGTAGAATTACCTTTTTCATGTATTCAGTTATGGAATTGTCTTTTAAGTACTGACCACTTTCATTGATGTAGTAACTTTCTGTTTCCTCGATAAACTTTTGCTCGAAACATGATTGATAAAGTTCTAGTGTGATTTTACATTTACAAGACCTTCCATCCCTTTGCAATCCAAGATCGACTAAAAAAGTAAAGATTTATACATTTTTATGAAGTCTTTTGGATAAAAAATTCAAGGAACTTTTCAAAATGTCAGCAGTCAGCACCAGTATTTATTATGATGAGACAAAAGAGGACTGTATTTGCTAATTTTATTGTAATATGGCCAACTCCAATTTGTAATAAAATCCACATGTATTACCGAAGGCATCAAGAACGCCACTTATCAAGCGCGTATTGATCATTTCACCATTTCTTTCTCTCATAATTAAGTCTATGACAGCATTGCATAGCTATGAAGTACAAGATTAGTTAGAAGGAGTTTATAAATCTAATCACAGTATACGCGTATGTCTACGTCAATAGCATATGAACAGTCTGACCTTTCCATGAACGTTGTTAAATACTTTGTCTCTCCATACTGTCATGGCCATCTACGAAGAATAAAGTGAAATTCCAAATATTATATATCGTTGGGAATTGACTGTTGCTGTTATATCATAAGGCAGTATAAGCGTAGTAATCGCTTCAATTCAGTAACACTAAGTAGAAGCATAATCTTCTATCGATAACCTTTCTAAGGTATAATAGTTTGGTAAAACCATGAAGCTATAGTTAGGTAAGGCTTACACAATAAATCTCAAAGTAATCGTGTCCTTCGTCGCATTCACGTTTAATGTAGTGACGATTGAGGTAAGCACAGATACCGTCTAAAACTTTGCTGGAAAATTTAAAACGTTCCCATTCGGCGGTAAAGTATGTCAATAAACTTTCGCCGATAGCTTCATTGGCTTCCTGTATATTACATCAAATAGCAAGGCCTTTACGTTAACATTTCATCCTGACTAAAACAATGATGTCTCTTGCAGGCACATATTTTACAATTTATCCACAAATATTCAGCAAGATAATGTATAGTTGAATCGACGACAATCATCATTATAATGCATTTTCGCTGAATAAAGTACTGTCATTGCAGTGAGATTATAGGTAGGGCAGTAACTTTAATTCGTGTCACTGCCAAGAGTACCTTGCTGTCATATTAAGCATACCGGTACATTTAGTAGCAGTAGTGTTAATATGCAATGCGTTTATAGGTTGTCATTTAGGTTGTTGTTTACTTCAACGATTACAACATCTACCAAGCATGAACAGATTTGAAAAGGTAGTAGGATAAGCAAGAATATATGTATTTACATAAATAAGTGTTCTCATTACAATTAGTTAGGGGTAAGCATTTAAAATTGAAAGATAATGTATAATATCTAAAGTATCCATCATTTCCATAAATGTTGTCAAGTTTTAACATTCATAAAGTTACATTAATGTGAAAGAATGATCTTTGGCAAGGACGGTACTGTCTTCCTACGATGTGATATGTGGAGTACAGTACCTGTGTCTGGAGATATACAGTACAGTACAGTGGCTACGCTTACTATGTGCAAACTTTATTATCGATCGACGAGTCAATTGAAGACCAACAACATACGTATCTATTTCAAGGAAAACTACATTAATAAAGAATCATTAATGTGAAAGAATGATCTTTGGCAAGGACGGCACTCTCTTCACACGATGTGTACCTGTGTATGGAGATATACAGTACAGTGGCTACGCTTACTATGTGAAAACTTTATTATCGATCGATGAGTTAATTGAAGACCATGAACATACGTACTATTGCATGCAAAACTACATTAATAAAGATACATTAATGTGAAAGAATGATCTTTGGCAAGGACGGCACTCTCTTCACACGATGTGTACCTGTGTATGGAGATATACAGTACAGTGGCTACGCTTACTATGTGAAAACTTTATTATCGATCGATGAGTCAATTGAAGACCAACAACATACGTATCTATTGCATGGAAAAGTATAACTGCAAATGTGTAGCAATGGAGATTGATTACATGAAGGAGTGTTGAAGACAGAAATGTCAATGATTGGATCATTTGAAATGGGAGACTATCCGAGATTGGTTGTGCTGCATGTCCATCGATGTCTACACTAGTTACTATCCCTTACCAGAACTTTAGGTACAAGATAGAATGCCAAGAAATCTTTTAATCGACTATATAATTCCATTCCAACAAATTGAGCACCTAGAATAAAAATTGAAAGAGAACATTTTAGCTGGATAGCGTATTGTATAGCAGCTAGTATAGCAGGAGTGGTGTCCAGCAAATCACCTTGATTCCCCGTTCTGTTGTTGGAACCGAGAGAAATGCCACTTCTAGTTCGACTACTTGCTGTGCTCGTCCGATTAGCCGTAGTGCAATAATTGTAGACATGCCTAGTTCAGCAATAGCAGTTAAGGTTTGATAGCATAACACATAGTCATTTCAAGCATTAAAAAGGGTAAAAGATATAAAAATGAACTACTAGGGGTAAAGAGTTGAAGTGGAGTGAGAAATTGTGAAGAGAGAAAAAAAAAAAAGGAAAAAAGTTGTCTACTATGGAGCCATCCTTGACTGACTACTGTATCAAACATAGCATGGCTGACATACATGGTATCACAGCTGGTGTGACAAGTAGCACTCCTACTACCACTACTCCTGACTACACTGGACTGCTTGCTTTTGTATCCTTGGCCAGTGAGTCAGCATCGGTTGGCGGCCAATTAGCCTACATCAATGTATGGAGAATCAAGTACTGAATGGAACGGTATATTTGCCATGGTATTTCAAAGAAATGCATCCTTTGCAACATTACTAATGGCATCGATCAGTGAGACCATGACACCAGTGAAATAATTGATTTTAAAGTTATTATACAAGAGAGAAGGCAAATAGAACTTAGTGGAACGCAAAGGACTCATGTATGCTATGGAAAAAGTGTTTTCAAATGGCAAAAAAAGGAGAAAAATACAAGCTAGATACGTGTAGAGTTGCATGTAACGCGTTCGGCTCATACTCGTCCTTGCATCGTAGATTTGTTCCACTCCTGTCTTGAAATCAGTCCAGATTTGATCCAGTTGGACATTTCTTGCCGTTAATGGGTGCTGCATTCCGTTGATACTTGAATCAACACCAGGATTATTCCTATTTCGATTCAGTGGCGAACGCGACATTGGCCCAATGTAATTTCAATTTCCTTTGCTAAGCAATCAATCCGCGCAGACGATAACTGTACTTCGACTGTCTATGACGATGTAGAATCCAATCCCTACTGGCAGAGTTGACGAACTGAGAGTCAACGACGTCTCGACATAGACCACAACACTCACCACTTGACACCACAGATTCAGAGAATGTTACTAACTGCTAGCAATCAATAAACCACTTTGAAAAATCATAATATGATAGCAGACTGAATGAAATTGTTGCGCATTCTTCATTCACAAAAAACAAATATGGCGTCCAAGCGATTGCTCAGCCATCAACATGTGAACACTGCTAGCGCTCCACTTCCCCTCCGACCCTATACAAACATAAGTGGATTCCTGTACAGTATGCGACATGCATAAGCTGGTCAAAGAAGAAAAAGTCCTCAGTGGCGATTGCATTGTCCTCACAATGGACTACAGTACTTTCCATTGGCTTACAGCTCTTGCCCAATTCCAGATCATAATAGATAGGCTTGGTAACGGGACAGTATGACATGCTCTGTACAGTACCCTGTCAATAGTCCAGTAGGCTACAGTACAATATACTGCTGCTGCAGTTGTACTGTACACTACCGCACTGTAGACTGTACAGTACTGTACGGTACTCTGGACCATGGCCGTGTGAACAGATACCCTGCTATGGACTACTGGAAAGAAGGATTCAAAATGGAAGATTGAAAGTTAGAATAATGTAGTGTAAATATCCAATCCTGTGATCAACAATGATAGCAGAAAATGACAATTTCGTCACAATTTTGAATGAATAAAAAGTTTCCTCGTCGAATACACACTGATACTTGATACTGAGTGCAGAAATCGGTCATGAGATGAAGGTGGTCAAACACTTTTGCTCACGTACACCACTGGATGGTGTATGGGTTGAAAAGCCGTGAATGAAATGGAGTAAAAACGCCACCCAAACCCGATCCAATGGTTGATTTTAGAACCCTAAATGAGTGCAATCGCTATGCAAACACTGAATCAGTGCGGAATGACTTAAGATTACTAGAAAGAACGATTCAAAATAGTAGATTGAAAGATAGAATAATGTACTATAAATATCCACTCCTGTCATCAACAATGATAGCAGAGAATGACAATTTCATCACAGTTTTGAATGGGTAAAAGCTTTTCTCGTCGAATACACACTGATACTTAATACTGGAGTACAGAAATCGGTCATGAGATGAAGGTGGTCAAACATTTCTGCTCATGTACACCACTGGATGATGGATGGGTTAAAGAGCCCTTAATGAACTTAAATGGAGTAAAAACGCCACCCAAACCCGATCCATTGGTTGATTTTCGAATCCTAAATGAGTGCAATCGCTATGCAAACACTGTCTCAGCGCGGAATTACTTAACCCGAATCCCTTCCCTTGAGTCGCGCTTTGCGTTGACATTGAAGGACGCTGGTGTGTTGGTATCACGTTAGTGTTGAAATGGCGGACGATTTGCTCTCGTCGTCTATTATGATTACGAGTTCACCACAACTTCTCACTTTCAGTATTCTGTTTTTGACTATAGTAGCACAGCCACTTTTAGGCATACAATTTGCAGTATTGTAAGTCCATACAATTGATCGGCTCTCGCCGCCACTCGCACAAGTCCTGCTGTCGTACTCAGCCTTCGGGTACAATATTTGGCCAGCGAGACTCGATGACATTTGATCAACTGCAAAACAATATTGATCCACGCAAGGGTTGAAATTTCTACCGTGGAAAACGCTCATTGTCATCTGTGCAATATTATTACTACACAGCATCAAGATTACAGTTATGATATACAGTACTGCCTCATCACAATATGTCGGCCACATCAGCCACTATAGCATGACTATTTAGAAAAACCTCATAGTTTCTGATATACGATTCTGAAAATTTCGTCTTGGCTTGACTTTTTAATTAACTAATGGGAATGAAACCCTACTACTTTATTTTGAAGCGAAACTTCATCCATTCATGATACAGGAAGTCAATTATTTTACAAAATGTAAACAAGTTACAATCCTTAAGTACACTGTTGTGCGCCGATACCCTATCATAAGTTGGCTTGGCAGTAGGATATACGGTAATTAATTTATAACCAGTATTTCAATGATGAGGAAGTACTATAGTGGACGCTATTGAAAGGCCTACGCAATCAAAATGGGACAAATTAAATATGGATTGCATCAAAATTCCCCTTAAGAAAATTCCATCCAGTACTACTATGCAAAACTAAGACTTCATGATAACAACATCACCATCAAAGCCAAAGAGCTACTCTATCATGATGCATTTATTATTCCTTATGAAAATGGATCCAAAGTAGAGATATACGCTTACACAGTATAGTTAGACATGCTTTTGTACAGTCTCTAGTCTCTCTTCTCGTTCATGTCGAAGAAGAGGCCGGCAGTCAAACCTAGTACAATCTATAAATTACCAGAATGGAATCAATCCTGCCAGCGAAGTGAGGACTATTGCCTTAATCAACTACTGTATTATCAGAATGAAGTATGCCAAAAGTCTAAGATGAGGCTTGAATCTAGTAGCAATCTGAGACATGGACTTTTACAGTAGATCGCACAAGTTTCCGTGACCAAGATATACAGCAGTGTAAACCAGTGACGTACACGAACTAGTTTGACGTAAGCTAGAATCAGCAATTACGAGCCTACACGCAACACAAAATGGTGAAAGAGAACAGCACCTTCGACATATCAATTCGCAAACTCTTCTAGCATAGAGAAAACGGCCGACAGTCAAACTTAGCACAATCCAAAATCGATTCTACCGGTAAAGCGGGAAGGATTACGTTAATTAACCATCATCAGGATAAGATAGGAGAAAGAGTCTAAAACATGGTTTAAATTGAGTAATAATAGACATAACTGTAGCATAAAATAGAAGCACTCTCGGCAACTATAGAATACTAATGGAATATAAACAGAATCAGCAAGTTGGCTACGCGGAACACAAAATGGAGAACCAGAGCCATACGTTCGACACCTTGATTTGTCCATTCTTCTATTCATCTATTGTACTCGTAGGTGCAGTACTGTATATGACTATGTTTAATTGAATAAATCATAAGCTAGACTGTATATAAGCGGGAGCATCGAGTCCGTAGAGAGTTCTTCTCATCGATTCTTTGTTATAGTACCGTTCCAGTTAAAATTATGTTGTAATAAAGCTTAAAAGAGTAGATCTTGCACTAGACTAAATACAGTAAAAGGTGGGGGGGGGGGGGGCATCCAGTCAATGGAGAATTCTTCTTGCCGATAGTGTACTGTAGATATCATTCCGGTTAAAATTTATTGTAGTAAAGCTTAATTCGGCTTTAACAATCCAGCTAGTCATACAGACTGTCAACTCTGAAAATGGCCTTTTCTACAGCCCCACATACGTAAAGCGCTAGAGTACGGGTTTTCGATTGATCCATATCACTCAGTATTTAATAGCTAGTACCTAAAATTACATAATCAGCATGAATCAGCCAAACATGATAGAGATGCTAACAAGCCAGATTAACTTTGTAACAAACGCTTAGATTGGCAAGTGTGACAATTTTTAACGCAGTTTTACTTCATTTTAATTGTTGAAAATGCTCTAGGAATAATTAATTGAATCAAAATTAGATGATGGACTGAAAGTGATTACGGTTATTAATACTAATTTATCATATCAACGCCTATGTTTATGATATCAGTGCGATATAAAATACAACACTTGCCATCTTGATATATCATAAGCGGTTACTGTACATAATAAAGTAACCACAAGTTGTAAAGAGTTACGATATTCCTATCCGGGACTTCTACGTAAGCAGGGGGGGGGGGAGGGACAAATAAGAGACCGAGTTAATATTATATCTATTCATCGCTAAAAAAGTGGTCAGATAATTGCAACCTTGATAGGATGCAGCTGTCGGAGATGGATTTCAATACAATCAAAACTAAATTTACTACCTTTGTATATTCATTAAAGAGTATTTATTTATTTGACATTATCCAACAATCAAATTAATCACAGTAGAATTTGAATAGAAATCAATATCATTTAAGATATAGCTACATCGATATTAATACTTGTATAATCGCTATTCAATCCAAGATTGTATTATCTTTAGGCTGGACTAGGTGTCGTTGTTGCGAAATAATACAATCTTTCCAAGTTATACGAGAAGTTGTAATGCAGTAGGATTACTTTTAGCTAGATATTCCTTGTTGTCGTCCGCCTATTCGATCAATATTAGCGTCAAACTAACTAGATGCCAAACGTACTTATATTTTACCAATATAAATACGAAATCAACCGCACGTGTCTCTGTAGTGATATCGATTTTTATAGCCCAGTAATAAAACATGCAATGATATATCAGAAATTGTAGGTTAATTCCTAGCTATAATATGCTCAATTTATCCCATTGTAATTGTAATTAATCCGATAGAATTAAAGCTAATATTTGAAATAGATGACTGGCTTGGTAAATAAATTAGACGTGAATATACTGTTTTAATTTATCATTATAGATAAGTTTACCAATACAGCAATATCGGATCTGATGAAATAAATGATATCATACAAGCGACTTAGATGCTACAATGGAGTGCATTCTATGATTTTCATACATGTGTCGTAGTGTCGCCGCAATTTGAATTAAAAATTTTGCATTTTTACATATGCATATGTAATTTATGTGATTTTTGAGCCTACAATCATCGTCAATTACTACTACTGGATGTTACTGTACTGATTCCGAAAGTAAAATGGAACAACTACAAAATAAGAAATAAATCGATAACATAATTGATGGAAATTAAATCACCGTAACATCAAAACAGTAACCTAAGCCAGCACGATGGTGATCTTAGCAATAATTTTAAGCACAATCATCTTTAAGCCCAGCTATTGAGTAATTGTCTGCTTTAAAAAAATGAATTACTACAATAAGTATACAGTAGGTATCATGGTAAAACGATAGTTACAGAAATCAGCTGATACCTATATCAATTGTGATGTAACGAAGCACACCTATATCTTTCAACAAGGAATATCTATTTATATCAGACGTTTATAATTGCAATGTTAACGGTAATGGTGATCGATCAAGGCTGACGATTGTTCTTAAAAATAGTAGACATAGTTATTGCTAAAAAGAATGATGAAAATCTTTGGAAATACTGATTAATATTGCATTGTTCGTTTAATTTTCGCCATTGTATTCTTGATCGATATCATGATATACATATACTCATATACGTCGCATATATATATTATATACGGCAAATGTCTAGATATATAGAGAGGTGCGGTATATTCTTGGATGTAATCTATAATTGCTATTGATAACAGCTGAATTGATTAGACAACAGCAAGCAAAATGATTATTGAAGGACTAACATCACTACCATCTAAATAACAGCACCTGTACATTGTTTAACAATTAAATTCTAGTTAATTCTAGTCCTAACCTTAGGAATGATGGCCTATAGTTAATTCTAACAGATATAAGATCCAGCATCAACTATAGAATAAGCCTTACAATGTATTACTTCTTTATATGTCAAATTATGTAAAATTTTTTTGTTTTATACAATTTTCTTTCGTTTTCTTCAAAACTTGTTCGTGTCTTCATCGATACAGATTGTTGTAGCCAATTTATGAGCTCGTATTCATATCACGCCACTGTTTACTTTTTTACGCTACGACAAAATAACTTTCAAGGCTGCGCTTGAGAATTTTTTGCTTTGTTTCATTTTGCCTTCTCCGATAGCGCTTGCATACGCATTTACGAACAACTGACGGGAAAGCATATTTCGTAGTACCATCAAAACAATTCATTTTAACGCGTATAGTTTTACGAAAATGGGCCACACAACGCCAAATATAGCGCTTGCTAGCGCTAACATCTTGTGGGATATTATTCGGTCTACAAGCGCCTTCGCATAGTAAATCTTTAATAGATCGCTTACTAATGCATAAGCCCTTCATAACATAGCGATGAATCTTCTTTCCATCGCAACAACTTGATGTATTTGCTAAACGATTGAGGAAAAAAATGAAAATAATTTAAAATGTGTCAAAAAAAATCCGACAAAATAAGAAAAATTCAAATCAGATGCATATCCTGCCAGCATAAGCCATAAACTAGTTACTCTCCCTCTTATCTATAAACGCATAGGCACTGGGAAGCAAAAATGTTTTTATAATATAAGGTAATAAAATGAAGCCCTTTAAAATAAACTTTTAAATATTAAATTCTTATTTAAAGTAACAAAAATTTGATCATCAAATTGACAGGTACTCTAGTTGGTTACAATTAAAATAAATTGGCCATGTCATAAAAGTAAAAAAGTGATAATATACTACAGGTATTAAATCTTGCTAGAAATCTAATATTGATATATCAAAATAGTCATTTAAGACTATTTACAATTCCAATCCTAAAATTCATCTAATATTTGACCTGGTTGAATGTCGGTGAACGACATGAATTGCGACGTTTGATGAATCTTAATTCTTAGATAGTAAAAATTATATGATAATTCTTACTTGGAGCACAATTTACTATCTTATGTTCACAATATGAAAAATGCATTGCAATTTCTGGTAAACTTCTTACGTGTAATCGTCAATCAACAATCTAAATAATTTTTTTCGACATCTTTATCGCTTTAAGAATTAAAACCTAGCAACACATTCTCAAAATGAAACTAATACGTGCAAATAGTTCATGCAAAGTGGCGATTTGATTAATAAGTATTATCCTTTCAAATAATATCTAAATTAATTAGCTATCATGTAATAGGAGATAATTTAATACACAGATTACAAAGCCCTTAAAATTAGTAAATTGTCAAAAAAAAATAAAAATCCGATCGTCAACACTTTCCAAACGTTTATGTTACAAATGGCAAAAATCTTCAATATGTCATGATTATCTAAGGCTATTACATCAGCCGCATTCAAGTCAACAAATGATAGACCTAAGTTGGCATATTAATTACAAGATAAAATAAAAGTTTATTATCAACGTTGGTATAGAACAGAAAAATTGCGAAAAATTGTAGAACAAATTCAAGAGAGCAATGAAAAAAATACGGCATTTTTATGTACAGAAAATTTAGATCAGTTCACTTACCAATACTAGTGCATTTCTTTGTGAAAACTTGCTGTTCCTTTTTAGGTTTAACTTGATCCGGTGACTGAGTTGGTGGTGATAATTTAGACAAATCAATTTGGCCATCCACTGCTACAATCAATATAGCGAAGAAAAGGCACAAGCTAACTAGCATCAATTTGATCATGGTCGGCCTGCTGTATCACTTATCGTATATAGAGGTGGAAATCGCTAGATGATAGCTATACTTTAATTTTCGAGATGGTTGGATAATTGGCTTTCTACCAAGAAACAGCTATAGTAGTCCAACTGTCTTTTCTTCTATGTTAAAAGATGATCCTGTAAGTCAACTAGGGATCGAATAACAAATAGAGTATTGATCTGACTGATATGCCTAAATAACGATATAATATCAAGGAATGGTCTAAATTGAAGTGGCAGAGTTGAGGAGATCAAAGTGTGATCCGATGATGGCGTTGTCTGGTTAATATAAATTGATGGTAAGACAATAAAGTTAAAGTAGTCTGAGAAAATTTGAACTACGATAACAATAGCATTGATAAGGTAAGATCAAGATAACAAAATATCAGTAAGAAAAGTAATGTTGTCAATGATTATTGTGATATATAGATAAAATGATAGGTTAGGTTTTGATACAATTATCACACCAATCTTTCTGAACTAGTCATAATCATACTTGTTGCCAATACAATGAGTTACCTAGCCAAGACTAAAGGAAAACAATTATACAATATTGTCTTATTCAAAATCAACACCAGGTGAAAATTTAATGCGTCCTTATCTACGTTATTTACTTTTCTGGACATCAATGTTATCCATTCAATTACTGAAATAATTTCCAAGATGAATAAGGAGCCTTAACTAGTAACTGGAAGAGAAAACTATTATCATTATCGTCGTCGTTATTATTCCGCTGCTTGACTGTATTGCAAATAGCTAGGAATGCGGTAGACCAATTGATTTTCCCTTATTTTGATTTCCCAATTAAATACCCAAGCATTAACAGAGATAACTAGTGACTTATAATAGTAATTGTTTAATTACAATTTAATTAACGATAAATTAGTAGGGGGTAGGCAAAGAGTTGTTTTTCTCTTTGATTCTACACCTACAAGCAAAAGGATATATTAGCAACTTACATTTGGTATCGCTATAGATATTTACTAATTCAAAAAGAGTGCCATAATGTCTTCTATTTATATTTTACGGTAAACTTTCTTCATAAATAAATGCGATTTTAGAGCTAAAAATGGCAATATAGACTAGCAGTGGAACGATAAGCTAATCAATCAAATTTTATCATGACAGATTGACAATTTTTTTGACAACTTGTTAGTACAACTTTTGCATATGAGATTAACTACAGATCACGCCAAAAAATAAGTTATTTACTAAACCTGATCTTATACGATAGGGCAACAACATGATTACATAGTAAATTGTATACTCAAACTACAAAATATTAAAAAAATATGATTTCATTTTCAGTAGCACAATTTACTTTTATTGTCGACTCAGCCATAAATGATAGTAGATTACAATTTTGTACATAGTATAAAGCGTCTAAGCTAAGATGGATTATAGCGAGCAGATGGATGAAGTAAGAGAGCAGGTGGCGGATGGGCAAAGGCCATGAGAACGAGTATTAACTGTTGTAATAGTATAGAGAAGATAAGAGAAAAGGGTAAAAAATATGGAGTAATGTCATTCACATTAGGTATGTCTATCTGCAAAAATAGATTTCCACTCAAGTGTAGCGTTATCAAATTTAATTTATAAAATTTCGATCTTAATTATTGAGAATTAAATAAGAGTATTAGATTATCTACGTTTCAATAGGTTGGATAGTTAATATCGATGATTAATTTAATTCATCGCTGAGGCTAGATAAGTTCCGCTTAATCAGGCTGGATATGTAGCCCTATGGGCTGCTTTATGGCTATTTAATCAGTGATTATAAAATTCTATTATATCTCTATCTTATACTATTCATGTCTAGAAAATTTTCTCACACAATCTATAGTCATTTCTGACTTATTGATGCTATTCTTGACGTCGATAGGGCATTTATCTCTTCAACCATTATCAAATACAATAAAATTATAATTGTACTTATAAAGAATTAATCAGAACCATATTATTTTTATCGGTTCTAAATTAAATACAGAATGACTTTGATCAGTGATTGAATTCAATATTATCTTCCATGCAACAATTTTTCACGATTATCTTGTAACCTTTAAGGAATTATCTTACTCAAAATTATGATACCTCGCAATCTTCATTAAAAACTAATGAGATTACAACCCTTATCGTTGTATTAGCTTGTTCAATCCAATATCACCAATTCGTTTTGATGTAAACCCACCTAGTGTAAACCACTATTATCGATAATATCTAAAATTTGGATATGGTTGGCTATGTTCAGTTTTGATGCCATTTAATCGCCTATCTAAAAGGTAGATTATATTATAATTTCAAAAAGTTTCAATTTTATCGTCCAATCAATAAGCAAGTAAACAAGTTTATTCCAAATTTTCAACGACATAATCAAAATGTACTTCTTTCTTACTTGATGGCTAAGTAATGAATATTTTGATCAATTTCGTTATTTATTTGTTATCTCTACATCTAACCTAAGTTAAAGTAATATTATCATCGATCTTTTACTTTCTTTGTTTCTTCTTGATCGTCATAAAGTGGCAAAATAATAAGTCAAAAACATTAGACTTAATTAGCCGTGACATTAAGATATTATTTGCAACAATAACTCTAAATGAATAACGAATTGTATCGTTTTTATTCCTACCGAAATCAGGTGAAGGAAACTAGAGTAATCTATTCTTAAATTGGCCAATCTTAAGAATTTAATAGCTTTAAAAATGATTCATACGGTATAAATTAAAATGAATTCAATAATAATACAGTTACTATGTCAACTGCCTTTATTGGCTTACTATGTGACGGCTTCTGAATTACCTTTGCCTAATAAGAATAAGATTGTTATTGCCTGAATTGAAAGCATTCAAAGCTCTTGAAAGTTATTCAACGAACCAAGCGGTCAGTAAGTGTTGTTAACCACTTTTAAACCGGATATAATAAAATTGCTATTGCGAAGGAATCACGAATCATCTGCTCTAGTCTTATTGTCCATAAATGATTGCAATTTTAATTAATCTAATTTATCAGACAGAATTCATGATTTGGATGCCAAGAAAATATGGATATGGAATGAATCAGCATATTTTTTCCATTCGTTCAATTACAGCCAAGCATGTATTACTAAGTAGTTAATATTTGCACGCATTTTCAAAAATAATTTTTATTGAAAATAAGGCTATTTGGTCAACATAGTACTATGTAACTATCAGCTATTCAATTCAATTCCATACATTTTATAATTACTGGCCAAACTTAAATTTATGGGCATAGTCCCACAGACGCTATTAATTTTGGATTGAACCATACTAAACTATTGATATATTCAGGTATAAATTTGTCTTGATTAGATTTATGATGCTTGGGATGTTAATTGCTTATATTAGATTCTTAACATAACTTACTATCAAGAACATGGAGATCTTATAAAGTATTACACTGCTTCTTTATTGAGCATTTAAAAGATCTGTAAAGACACCTATTATATTGCTATAGTACAGGTGCTGCCGATTTCTATAGAAGAAAATAATATGAAAGATACTTTCGGTCTGTCTTAAGAATAAATTATTTCTTGGAATGAAAAAGACGGAGTTAAAGGCAAATAACTTACCATTGTTAGCAAGAACTTGTGTTTCAGTGATATAGCTCAGGTAATTACAAGATAATGAATAACGAGTGTAGTCAATTATCTAGAGTATACTTGTAAAATTCTTATAGAGATATTAATAACACAAACATTATGTAATTATTGATGAGAAGATGGGAAAGTATAAGGCAAGAGCTTGATACCTTTAATATATAGCAAGTATTCCTTATTATTATATAGTCAGTTTATTCCTACTCTCTCGATCATGCCACAAATACTGTATTACAGATAAGTGATTTTAGTGAAGAAATTTTATAATCTACTTATATGCTAGGAATACTAAAAATCTATGATATCATAAAGGCAAGGCTAAAATATGTAGGATATGATATAAATACGGTGAATTCTTTATGTAAAATCGGCATTTTTAAAGAAAACTCTGAATTCATAGAGGGAGGCTATCGGAAATTTTGAAACGTACGATTAGGATTAATGCGACCTGGCATGAAACCGGTAGCGTATTAAAAGCTTCCGTGATGGGAAATAAAAGCTGAGAATTTTAATAACAAATAATTTCTGTCTAAATCGAATTCTATGAGGAAGGCGAACCTTCATAAAATTGCAAAAGTCTTGTATACAATCACTTGTTGTTAATTTGATCTTGCAACATTTAACTATAGTATTCGTAATGATCATCTATTCTAGCTTGCCCTTTAAATTATAACATCGAACCCACTAATGCTATTGTAGAAAATTTGCTGATCTATGTTCAGTGTTAAAATTTATATCATCAAGAAATTCCAGCTACGTATAATCGTGGCTTTGCATTTGTAATTTTTATTAAGTTCCATGTTTACCTATCCTATAGGGCCTTATAAAAGCGTTATTGAAGGTATATTAATATCGATCATTTATTAAAGTTCCTATATCTCGATCTATCATAACAAAGGTCGACTAGAATGTCAGCTAAATTCAAGTCTAAATAAAATTGCATCAAGATAATTTATTTGCAAACATGCAACAGATATTGTCATAGCTAAAGATTAACCGTTAGCTCAAAAATATAAGAGACTCTTTTAGAGCCATTATATTGATAATCAAGAGCTTGAAACTGTACTACTCGCTTTGAGTAAAAACAAGCTACAATTTGTAAATAAACATCCCCATACTCTACATTGAATCGCTCATTTTTGTCTCGACGCTATATCAAGTTACAAAGATTAAAAGAGAAATTTGATTTTTTTAGCATTATTATAAATTCGATGTTAACATGTTTGTATTCTTTATAATGGAGTTGAAAAAAACTTTAGAAAATATTGAATATTATTCTGATTATGTTTCCAAATATAATGTCATATTTGCTACCAATTGTGCCATAGACAGGTGAAGAGTATTTATAAAATACGGATGTCATGGCTAAAATATGTCGAAATAATGTTAACGTTATTGACTTCCGAAGTATATTGAAATAGCCTATCGTAAAATATTGAATATTGATATAACTGTTATATTTGCGATCGATTGTATCAGAACCAGGTGAAAAATTATTCTAAAGCTGGGAAGTTATTGCTACAATCTATCAAAGTATTGTTGATGTTGTCATCTTTCGAAGTATATCAACAAACAAATGATAAAAAAATCTATCTAGTAATATAGTTAGCTCATTTTCATTTGATAATTTCATACCGGTATTGATATATGATCAGTTACACTTTAAGAAAGAATTTAATGATATCTTGAAGATATCAAAACCAAATTAATATTATTACTTTAAAGCAAGCGATAATTAGTATTTTGGATTATGATTTAACACTAGCTCTTCCCTCTTCCTTCCTACGCACAAAAACCCAAAAATAGTATTGATAATACCGTTCAATAAGGATTTATTTTACAAAAATGATCATTTTAGAACTATTCATTTAAATCCATTTCTGATAAGTTTGACAGGTGGATCGCGACCTTTCTAGCACGAATAGCTGCATTATTTATCGTTGCACTACGTTTGATTGAACTAAAAGTGAATTACTGCCATATTTCTACTGTACAAGTTGACATTATACGATTGTGGGATGGCATTTTTGTTATAATACTGGTAGGAGTCTGTATTCTATTGAACAATGCGATATAGAAATTAGCGTCATATTATAGTTCCATTTTCTATGATATTGTTTAGCCTTGCATTCTAATTTTTCACCTGCTTCCCATTTTTATATTCAATCATTTGACGTTAGAATAACTTGCTATGCTATTGTGATAGCTTGTTATCATTCTTCACTTCAAATACTTATTATTATCATAATAAATTAATTCAAAGCAGAAATAATGGAGTTGACTAGTTAAGTTTAAATAAACACTAATGCTAGCTTAATCATATTGATGATATTACCTGCAACAATGTAAACTTATCTTTCAGCAAAGTCATAAAAATAAATCTTGCGATGCCTGATGGTAGTACGTTTGATTTAAATTAATAGAAGTAGACTAACAATTTGAGAATGCCATCGCATTGAATGGAGTATTGATATCAATGGAGTATCTTGAACTGTCAGTACCATATTATCGAGTCAATAGAGAGTATTTCAGTAGCTTAAAAAATGATCGTGATTATAATTTTTGGCGAATGGATGCTTTTAACAAATCATAATCGTTAATAGAATCGGCCAATTCGAACTATTGCGGAATGGCATAGGTGAGATTGATCTAATAGTCATTTTTGCACAGCATCGCTGCAATAAGAACAACCAGGAATGATCTAGCTGCCTTCTTTAGATTTCGAAAAAGATTAGAAATGATTTTTTTACTTATACTCATATGGCATGGTGAATAAGTAGACGACGAAAACAAAGGTAAAATTATATTTCAAATCGACAAATTACATCTACAATAATCTGATATGACTTAAAAATAACATGATAAGAACTTTAATATATTATTAGAATTACTTTTTTACAAGAATTAGTTCTTCTACCTAGGACTATTTACATTCATATCTAACCTAAAAAATGATATATTTAGAAGTTACAATACAAGTAATCTGGCGTTCATATAGAAAAAGAGATGATGCTAATGCATATAATCTTCGTGCCAAAAATAAGATGAGAAATAACGCATTTGATTCGACAAATTGGCCATATATTTGGTAACTTGATATCTCTTACTATGCTAAATAGATTTTATAATTATCTTGACTATTACATATTACTTGTATATTTAATATCTACAGGATACTATCAATAAATCATTTGGTAGATTTTCGACTGAGCTTCTGAAGAAGCGGCAGCTATGATGAGACTCTATCATAACTGCCAGCATTCTGACTAATTATCAGTATTCTGACTTTTAGATGTGGGTCACCTATCCGGCAAATATCTATAGGGTATTAAGAATAAATGGAGAAGTAATTGTATAGTGTAGAAATGAAAGCTAAACGCGTTAACTAATATGACTTTGAACTAGTTGATTTAAGGATAAAAATCTATCTCCAGCTATGATAAAATAGACAAACTTATAATTAAATTCATCACGGTAGCGGCTGAAATCCGAAATGTAACATCATGCGGATAAATCTTATTCTTCTGCTAATGTTGTATTACGAGTTCGTATTAACGACGATAGAGATTTTCTACGCCATAGCAATTTTACGGCATTGTGTATTGAAGTCTTAGTAATTTATTAGAATGCCCATACAAAGTATCAATAATGCTGAAATTTACAAAGAGTAGTAATTTCAAGTAAAAGGAGTCTAGGTAACGAGCAAGAAAATTATGAACTGAAAGTCAAATTGCTAATGTTGTAAAATTAATGACAGTAGAAGTTTTCTAAGCGATGGCATTTTTAAGACATTGTGATATTGAAAATAAATGAATTCTAAGCTGAATTCTTGTGGTCGAAATACAAATTGATAGTATACAGACATCTATTCTAATATAAAGGGTGATGAAATTGACTATGAGCAGTAATTTTAAGTGAATTCAGTACTAGATAGCATGCCAGCAAATTATGATCTGAACCTCAAATATATTATAATAGTGCATAACAATTTGTGTTAATGCTTACGTAAAAAATATTAGCAAAGAAGTAAGTTCACTTTGAGGTAACAAGTTCAAGCTGGTATGTACTAATATATAATATGCGTGAATTACAAACGGAAACCTGATTTATTTAATAAGAATAATGATAATATGAGTAATCACAATTGTGGCAATAAATGAATTATGTTGCAAGGCGAAGTAATATTCTAAAATGTAGAATATCAATAATAATATCGGCCTCGAGTAAATTTAGTTCATATTTCTTCTAATTACCGACAATCTTATATTATTATATGCATTAATTAGCATCAATGAGAAAATAAAATCCACACAACCGTGATCAGAGAATGTTGAAAAATCATCAATTCTAGCTTACTATAACTTAAATTACAATCATGATTTGCCATAAAATTGGTGACTACCTGGCAAGTTCGCAATCGAATTTATAATTTGTTTAAATTGAAATGATATTAAGCACAGAGCAAAATAGTTATTAAAACGATTTCGATATACAGTATTCAGAAGTGATATCGAGTTAAAGTAGAAGAATATAAATTAAAAGAAATCGTTAACCAAATCATATCCAAATCTATAAAACAAAATTCGTATTAATCATCTAGTCAAGTTTATTACTGTACAAAGCAATAAAATTTGGTAATTAAACCAAAGCATCAGATATAATTTTCCTTCTAAATATATACTATATATATACACGCCTATATCGATGAATATATAAATATAAATAAGAATAGAAATATAATTATCATGCCTAAAAGAACTTTTGTTTTATGTTAATCATCCTCTATCGAGCTATTATTATCAAAACCGCTACTGCTACTGCTACTGCTATTACTCAATCTCCTATCTAATGCTATGGCTGTCATAGCTGTATATTTAGGATTTTGGTTGATTGAAAATGTTCCATTTTCTTCGTCTTCTACGGTTACAACATGATTTTTAGTTGCCACTGGAGCAACTTTCTTATCATCTTGTGAATCATCTGATTGCGCTAGACCTACTGGTAATTTTGACGGATATCTCTCGACATAGACTGTATTCGCTTGATCCTTGTCTTTCTTTCGCCGACTACGGATGATGTGATTGATTTGGATATAAATCAAAACTGACAGTACAGAGCATAAGACGCTACTAACGCTGCTGACTACTACTAATGTAATGATATTTAGTTTAGAATTATCGTCGTTCCTAGCAGAAACAGTTGAATCTGTTGTACCAGATTGAATTTGTTGTTGCTGGCCATCTAATGGAAAACATAGATTAAATAAAAGATCTTAATTAACCTTACATATATATATATCAGACAGATAGACAAGATTTTAAAACTACAGCCAATTATTCTACTTTTTATTGGTCAATAAATGCAAGATTGCATTAACGATGCGGGCCGAAATTAAATCCTTTATACTATCTGCAAAATTATTCATCAACTAAACTGAAATTTATTGGCATTTGACGATTCCATGCAGTATCTGAAATTTTAGATTGCAGAATCGCGTTTTAAACTAGTTTATTAAGTTTACCTGTATTACTACACTGAGCCATAGTCGGATAAACTTCACCACAAGTTTGAATCTCCGTTTGGATCACATCGCAGCTTGTACTATTATGACAATTACAATTTCGCGATCGAACTTGGCGATTATTAATGCAAGCTGACCAAATTGTCCAATCATCGCAAACTTTATCGCTATCAGAATAGCAATCAAATCGATTACAACTCTTGGATTCTCGCATATCATATCCACCACATTGATCAGCATCTAAAACTTGATTGGATACTCCATCACGGCATGTTCTAGTTCGAATTTGATTGCCACCACCACATGTTCGACTACATGGCGACCATTCCGTCCAACAACTCCAAATTGGAATGACAGCAGCATTCACCACTAATCATTTATTAGTAGTAAACAAATTAGTATCCACATTCATACGTGTATTCAAATACTCGTCTATTAATCAATTTGGTCGCTATTTGCGGCAGATTATTTTAATGGTTCGTTATTAAATTAAATTGAAGGCTTTAATTCTCAATCTTTAAAATTTTAGTTATATTCATCGGAATGAGTAATTAGGACATATTTATATGACGTTTTTAAGCTTGATGATCAAATCCAATTACGAATAGCTCGATTATTGATATTCGAGGTATCCGTCATGGGTATGACTCATTTTTATGCAACTATCAACACCTGAATAATTTTCTCTCCTATATTACAATTATAAGAAAATTTTTACCTTCAGTTGTGCATGGATTCAAGGTGCAGACGACGGTTTCAATCGAATTACCATGGCATGGTTGACCACCGTCGGTGGGAACTGGATTATCGCAGGTTCTATTTCGAGTGCGGATACCAGTTCCGCATGTACTACTGCATGGTGTCCATGGCTGCCATGATGACCACTGACCATCATTACTTTGAAATTTTTGGCATTGGCCATTAGCATCGCAATTACGAGATTCTGTTTCCATTTCATTAATTCGCATATCCTTCTCTTTACGTTCTGCTGGTAATCGAGCAAAACAAGTAAATCGGAATCGTCGTTGCGTAGTGGAATGATTTACGGCTAGCCATGGTGTCCAAACACTCGTTAGCGTTTGCTCTTGGCAATATTGACTCGCAAGGCAGGATTTCTGCTCGAGATAGTCACCAGAGCAATCGCGACCACCATATTGTGGCGTTGGATTATTACATTCTCTTTTTCTGGTTGTTACCATGTCATTATCACATTTCTTATTGCAAGATGCCCAACTAGACCATTCTGACCAAGCTCCGTCGATTGCTAAATGACAGATATGGAAAGAAATTAAGTAAGCCTCTCTACCGTATATCATGCTTTCAACACATAATATCAATATACATGTTAGAAATGGAGATCGGAGATGAATTGGAAATGATAGATTGTAGATAGATGCATACCTGGGCAAATAATTTGCTGATTACAGGAACGAGTTTCTTCTGTCGTTTTGTCGCAAGGTGGACGACCACAGCTTCTTGTACGTCTCTGAACACCATCAAATCCGCATGATTTTGAGCATGGAGACCATTCCGACCATGGTGAATAATTTTGTACACCTTTATAGAATTATTCATCATTAGCAACAACTTTCCACTACTATGGCAGTATTATAGGCTAGCATGACATTGTCTGGCTAAAGAAGATGCTATTTTAATGCTAATTTACCTGTGCAATTAACTGCATCGATTTTAACTATTTGCGTTGTACGACAACCTAAGCAATATTGCTTTCTACACTGACATTTGCCAAGATCACTCTGATGGCAACTATACCAATTTGTCCAACCCTCTATAAGATAGATGCAACAGCAATGGAAATTTTGTGTTAGAATCGATTCATTTTAATATGATTAAAACAAAACCTTCAATTCATACCTGAGTCGATCTTGGATGTAGGACACTTGCTTAAATCTTGTATCCAATTAGAACTAAATTTTGACAGTTATCATTCAGTCCAAAATGGTGATTATTATATATTATGATAATTATAAGTAATTGATTGCTTACAGTGGCGTATATTCGGTACATTTGTTGTCCTTAACAGACCACCCGCAGTATGGATCATGAGCTAGAAGGCACTGGCTATAGGACAACATCGAAAGCATACAAATATTTTGTTAGAGGTATTTCCTTAATTGCATTCTTCCAATACCAGTCTACTTACCTTTGAGTGGCATACCGACCGCATCGATTGATGCCAATTCTTAAAACTTTCGTTTCAGTAGTTATGAAGAGATATTTCTAGATTATGAAATGATGTAAGATCAGTATAATCTCTACAATCTCTATCGTAGCTTTATATATATATATAATAAATCGATAACTGATTTAGGAAATTCATTTAAAGTTAAGTTAATTATCTTCTTAGCTAAGTCATTCGGTTTACCTCTTTCTTAATAAAGAGCATATTAGTAATTTTCTCTCCTTTCATAGCCTATTATGATGTGATTATACTTATTTAATCAATCCATGCATCAAAGGGATTCTAATGTGGAGAATAACTATGGAAAATTAATGAGCTAATTTTACTTACGGATGAAATTTTAATTTCCTCAATGGTACACAATTTTTGTCGACCGTGTGGTTGATACATTTTAAGTACGGTCCCATGATCTGGTTGATAATCATATCATTTAATTTGGTTAGATAATTGCGTCTTTTATAAGTAGAATAGAGACGTTAGTTGGAATTTAATTGCATAATTATGCATCCTCTGATACCTGTAGCTACAAAAAAAATTTGAACATGTTGTCCACCACGGATTTGAACTTTATCAATCATTAATTTGGAAAATCGAACATCATTCATGACAACCAAAGGTATTTTTTGTATTGGTTGAACAACTTTTGCCATCGATTGATATTTCATAGCCTGGAAAAGATCACGTTTGGTAGTTCCAGCTGGTTGCCCTCTTGAAATACTGGTTTCGTATGTTTCACACTAAAGAGAAGAAAGGCAAAGTGAGCAATAGGTGAGAATCAATTTTGTCCAAATTTACACGTTCTGTGCTATCTAAATCTTGATGATAGCTTGCATCTTAATTCACTATTTTATATGCTAGATTTAATTGATGTATGATCTATTTTAAGGCTAAATAATTAACTACAGCAGTCCTTTAACCGCTGCTAACCTTTTCTATATGTCCTGGATTAGTCGCTTTTTGCCATTTGCCATTTTCATCCCGACGAATATAGTCACTGGCGAAGACAGCATTAATAGCTTCATCTTTAAATGCGCAAATAGCAGAGCCTGGTAATCCATTACTATATAGCGGTAAGGTTAAAAAATATGAAAATGAATGAATTTTTGTAATTCATTTCTTTATGTCGTATTCGATTTAGACTACTTGATTAATGTAACTTGTTCGTAGAATTATAGCACCTACCTTAATGTTGTAAAGACTGCATAAGTGGTTTTAGTATCTTCCATTCTAAATATGTCTTCTACAATGTGCAAATACAAAGTGATAATATTTTTATTTTTAGCAGGAATAACTTGAAGAATACGAACAGTTTACGATACATTTGTACATATTGAATTATTTAGGAGTGAATATTTTAGATCTTATTAATCAGTTCATTTAGATAATAACACTAATTATTACTTGCGACGAGACTTACTGATATTGCGGAAGTAGAAGGGAAATTTACCAGGAAGAGAACAGTTAAGTCTGGCTTTGGCGAAAGTTGTCCATTGGTTACGAAGGATGTATACCCCACCAATATCATTCTGTGCATAATTATGATTTAGATTAATAGTTGCTTTTGTAGCTTAATTGATTGAAATTAAGTTACGATATTGATTCAATACTACATGAAGCCGTAGAAATAGACAAGTACCCTACTTGATGGTTAAATTTTTATAACTTAGGTAATTGTACCATACTATTCATCGCATTTCGCCTAATTTACCTTGCAAATACGAGCAATACGTGGGTAAACAGCCTAATTATGTAAATCAAGATAGATCGAGGTAGAATTCATATTATTAATGACGCAAAATAAAGAATTTAAGAGCAAGAATTACAAGAATAGATTCTTAAGACTAATAATAACTAAAGTAATCTGCATTCCAATAGTATTCAAATTTATAAAACTCTACAAGATTCTCCTCTACGTAGAATTATAGCGCAATGATAGACATTTAATTACATTATCTGCTTCTTGAAACTCTTGAATTGTTTCAGAAAACCAAACAAACATGTGATTTAAACTTTCATGAAAGCCGGCAAATCGTGGGGCTGCAAATTTTAAAATAAGATTGATTAGATCGAGAGATTTGCACAAATTCAAATATTAAGATATTATATTTACAGAAGTAGATGGGTTGATATTATGGATAAGGGTTTGCATTTGCTTATGTCCCAAAATATACCCAGTAGCACGACACTTATCATTATAATTTAGTATACTAAAGTGACCGATTTTAGGCCAAATTATTACCATTAAATATGCATTACACTTGTGTTTAAGTTACTAAAATTCATATTTTGATTGCGTTTACGCTATGCTGTATCTTCATTCAATCTGAGGGTATAATCTCTAATTACACTTCATGCCAAATCATGATCATTCTATTCTTACCATTTAACCAAGTCGGACTACTACCGTCCGTATTCAAGGATACTTTTCCACCAAAGCGGCGCTGAATGGTGTAACTTTTCCTATCGATATCATAGACTGTTCCACCATAAAGGCTTCCATCCGCTATTTTTGTAAAATTAAAAAATATCGATAATTAAAATTAAAGTATATTTTTCTAGAATTCTTTGTCATATATTAAAGGAACAAGAATCATTCAGTATTTTTTTTTAAATTGCCAAGCAACCGAACTGCTTTTCTCTTAAATTAGTGATAGTTAGATGTGCTTTTACATTTATACCTCATGGTAATGCTATTTTTAATGCCAAGCCTACTTCTGAAATTTTGATATTCTATATACTAGATATCAGTAAACCTATTTCATTAAATTTACGCTTCCAAGTGCTACATAAGTAAGCATTACATAATGGAAATGATTTATGACTAATAAGTCTACTGATCCGGTTAATATAGCCACATAAACCAATTTATTAACCAATTTTGTGCTAATATTTCATATCAGCATTGGAGACTTTATAATTATCCTGCACTATTCATAAATCAATTTCTACAATGTTATTCTACTATTAATTACCGTATGTAATTGAAAGATTTATGCTTACTCTCTAGAGTTGCCAATAAATTTACGTGCTCATTCTAGAAGTAGGATGTAGCTGCTACTATCTTAAAGCTACTTTCTAACCGTAGTAACCCATAATATGTAACAGTGAAATCTTGCTTAAGGCAAACTGATCAAATTATTCTTATTACCGTAATGCAATCATCAAATCTGGTTTTATATAGTTGCTAATTATAATTATAACAGCTAGTGCTAGTCGGATGGATGGACAGAGCCAGTTGCTAATTAAGCGCGAAATAGTTAATTAAGTATTTATAAATTCATCAGTATTAGAATATAGGAAGAGGTAGTCAACCCTTAGCCCTAATTATGGGTAGTTATGATCGAAGTTTGCTTTTTACATCAGTTTGGTATGTTCGTTTTGTAAGAAGTATAAACTAACTGTCCATGTTTGCCCGATTAAAAATATAAAATATCGAAAAATTCTGACAGTTAGGTACTATACGCATATGATCGTCATTGTTAATAAGAACCCCTACTGTATTAATTATCCTATTAAACCAGATTAACGGATTTTCTTCAGATTAAATTATTACTATTGATGTGGATATGACCATTATCTTATTTAAAATTAGCGATTGCTCTGGTGGATAAATATTTTGAACAGTTAGAGGGCGCGTAAATGCTAAATTTACATTTTAATTGTGATTTTAATAGACTAGAAATAGAATGAAACTGTTTCTTTTACTAGACTAATCCTTCTGATAGATCTACTAATTTAGCTGATTCATATGAAAATCATGTGATTAAATCGAATTAATAAACGTTTTCGATATTAGAGTTTGAAAATAGTTTGTATTGCTTAATTTAATTATATTGAGCTGTTTAAATATTCGTAGCGTCGTATCTTCATACCTGAGATGGCATTGATACTTGGTAATGCTGGATTAAAGGAGACTAGACCATGTCCATCGTGTGTATGTAATATTTGATGTAAATTGGAGAGCTAAAAAATAATCGGCCAATTAAGAAAACAATTCTATTCAAGATCAAGCAATGCAACGATTGACAGCAAGTTGTTAGTTTAATCTGTTAGGGTCGCTAACTATCATTACATTATCATGAAAATAAATTCATTTTGTTGATAGAATACTAGCTAGAACGTTATTTGCATTAATCGTGTTGATTTAGCATCTAGATCATGGTTACGGTCAGGCTTATTATTTACCTTTCGGATGGTACAATTAGGAGCCAGCGAATAACTGCCACAGGAATATAGGTTGCGCCCAACGATAGCCAAAAAAGTCACATAATTATTGCATAAATTCTATTAATGATAATTTGAAAAAATTAAATGAAATCCCTTACAAGTGGTTGATAGTGATGTTAAAGATATCTGTGCTAGATGAACCTAATCATTTTTAAGCTAATCAAGCTTAAAATAATGACGACAGCTTAAGCTTTTCAACGGAAAAGATATAATCGAATTATGATGGTCCATTTGACAAATGCAGTGATTATAAATGAAGGGCTTATTTATCGCTCGTTATGGAATGTTCGTAGGAATGATATCATATGCCAATTATGATCATGTATCGAATTTAATTAAAAATAGATTACAAAGGAGAAAGCTACAATGTGAAATATTTGTCAAATTTCATTATGCGATCACTTTAATATATGATAGGAGATTGTAGTATGCCGCTGTTGAATCTCTAAATGCTGCCTTTAAAATGTCGAAATTAGTGTGTTTAAGCGTATTTTAGTAATTGGTAGTTAATAGTTGGACTATAATGATGACCAAAACGGTATAACGGTGCTAAGTAAACAAATGAATTCTATGCCTATCTATCAATAACTTGATTATGTATATTATGGCGGGGTCAGCTATGATTTAATTGGATCGAGAGCAGTTGTTACCACGTAAGAAAGTAAACAGCGATGACCTAACGAGGGTAAATATCAATCTGCCAATGAATTTGATTCTTTTAGATCATTTTTTGACCGATAAAGTCATAGTTTGATCAGAAAAGTAATCATGCTAGTAGGGTACGTCCATTTCATCCTTTAAATTCAAATTTATCACGAAAGCGAATGTACTAACTCAACTATCTCTTTATATTTGATTAAAAGTAGGAAAAAGTTACTGATTCAGTTAATTTACCAGGAAATCTTTCTTATAGTTATTATGATAGACTATAGAAAGAATAAGAGAAGTTTTTAAGATAGAAATGGTACACCAGATTATCATATTAAATAGATCTTATTGTTCATCTTCAAGCATCAATACTGAGCTACGGGTTCAATAACAAAAAAACAACCACTTGATGAATAAAGCCAAGATAGAATATCTATGCTCTTCATAAATCTGGCATTGAGATTAAAAATAAAAACTACAGAAATTGCTTATTTGCACTTTTCTAAAATACCGGACTAGATGTTGGTTGTAATATGATGGTGTCAACAACATCTGGTCCATAGTTTAAGAGAAGTATCAAAAACGATCAAAGCCGAGATTAAGATTGTCATTGTCTGTAGTAGATAGAATGAAGCTAAATTACTCGGCAATAGATCAAACGGGCGTTGGTTGATGAATAGTTATTGGTCGAATGTATTATTTGTCTTGTCACGCCTTACAGTTTCTCTGCCTTTCTTTTTCATCAATCCAATCAAACAAATAGTGCACAGTTGGATAACTTACCACATTAGGTGATGATGATGGTCGGAATTGACATTGGCGCTTTTGCTGTAGCGATGAATTATAAGGAACAATCTATAGTTCCAGATATGAATTATCAACTATTAGACACACGACCATAACAATAGAATCATCAAGATAAGATGATTGGATTAAACTAGGCAACAATACATTGGAATGATGTTGATTGTCGAAAAAGCGTGTATGGAATCTAATCTTAGTTATTCTATCATGCGATTTGAATATTCAAATCATGGGATCCAACATTTAAATATATACACATATCTATAAATTTAAATACAACACGCTAAAACTTTATTGACTTTAAGACGACAATAGCCAAACTAAAGTAAGTTATTCATTAGAAAGTAATTTTCAAATAGTCTACCTAGAAGATGATTCTTATTCAATTGATTCAGAACTCTTAATAACTTACTTGCAATAAATTTAAGGATTGTTTTCGTAAGGCAATAATATAATTCCTAAATTATATTGTAAGATAAAAATAAGAATTATCTAAAAGATGTGTTATCAGTCATTAGAAAAGGTACTAGATACAAATAGATAGATTCGATTGTCGGATCAAATGATCAAAATAGGAAATATCACTTAATTAGTACGTAGAAAAAATTATTTCCCGTGGAACGTACTTTGCGCCCAGAATAATTTGATCATGTGTTGGATCTTCGACGATAGAATAATAACTTGAGACGTAACTTATTTCAAAGCTACTCTTGATGGAATCTATTCGTAACATATTCAAAAAACAATATGTCATAGTTAGCTGACGATAATTACATATGCATGATAATCGACAACGTCATTGAGTTGATGACATCTAATATGCTGCTTAATACAGCCATTGATAGACAAGGAGAGTCAATACCAATATAAAAACAACTAATTATGTTGATCATGAAAAAATAGTATATACTCCGTTAAGTAAATAAAGTCCTAAACGGCCGGGAAACCAATTTCTAATTAATTAACCATAGAGTTATGTAATAGTCTAACACCGATGATAAAGATAATAACATAATATCCTAATTAATTAATAGACTTAATTGGATTGAGCTTACAATTTGAAAAAAATTTGTGAAAGGAAAGGAAAGAAAGTCAATATTCAGTTCATATGTCGTCACCGTTTTCATTTTACTTTACTAAATTTTATAGAATATCACCATGATGACAAGGGCTAAATGAGATTGGATTAATTGATATTTTTTCGGAGTAAGCTCGTTTATTGGTTTCTAACTCAATTCAGTTTCTGTACATTGCCCTACTTTTCATCTTTTTTTATTTAGTTTGATATAGTTAAAATGATTTTAAAGACTTTCTATTCCTTAGTATGTACTACCGAGAATATTAATGCAAAGAATAACCCCAACACTCATTTATTTATAGCCAATTTAGATTATACAGTGCAAAAGTAAAGCATACCTTTAGGATACTTTAAAATTATAAATCGTCGATAAATTAATACTAATATCTTACTTTATCCCTTATAGCGATTTATATTAGATAGTAAGCTAGAAAGTTTTGTGATAACGAAAAGAATACTTGTACATGTGACATAAACTACCATACCATGTCTGATCGTCACGGTATAGGTGTAAAATAACGACTAATGATTGGGGTCATTGACGATAAAGTAGATACAATTAATGCTTTATTCACAATTCTAAACATGGGTACGGAATGCGGTAGCTATGATCGCCCTTAGTCTTTTCCCACTTATAACTTAATAATAATAGACAAATGCCTTAGATTGTTACTTATGTCTTCATGTCGACAAATGAAGCGTAACTATAATTATCGCTTTGCTTCTATTGCAAACGAATTAATGACACAAAGAATTGAATTGGAGTACAATTGTGACCTCATTCTGATTTGCTATTTGTAAAATAGTTAAAATTTTAATTTATGATCGTCATGAACAATATCAAATAAATAAGTTAAGATCGTCTTGAGGATCTCATACGAAGTTTACAAGAAGAGCGTTGAAATAGTTACAACAATTATCAACAATCTTGACTCATCTTTATCTATAACAAATCAATTAAATCTGGATTGTACTGTATCAGTAGGAATCCAGTCAGCGGGTGATCAACAGGTGGGATAATCAAATTTAGAATGCAACTTGCTCTCATGGCATCCCACTGTTCAATTGATTTGCTAACGTGCCGTTGATTAATCAATCTAACGTAGAACGGCTCCTATCAATCATTAATATAAAGTCTGCCGTACACCAGGCACGAGTATACTTTTAAAAGTAGTAAATAATATCAGACAATTATAAATAAATCCTATTGATATTTTATGCGGTGTTTGTATTCAATAAACTATTAGGAATGAGATTGCACCATCACTCCATTTATTTTCCTTAAAATATTCTAACACTATGGCCGTTACTATTCATCAATGGTACGATGCTGTTTACCATTCATACTAGCTAGTTATTGTTACTAACTGGTGTAATTAGAAAAAAAAATTGATTAGGTATAGTGCTGTAAATGTAGATTTATAGAAAGCATAAAATAGAGATGAATTTAGGAAACGATATATTGCAATTTCAGATATAATTCGTGTGTAACTAGATACAAATAAGATTGAATGGACGTCGTAAAGCTTAATGAATGATTGTGACATCGCTGACTTGCTTTTGATGGATTAAAATATCTTCACTTGTTATTGTTAAAGTCTGTTATTTAAAAGTATAAAGTTTTGCTTATCTAATCCATGAATTATTATCTTAAATACACTAACTTTGTATAGGCTCCTTTTTATTACGATCAACTAACAGTAAAAAAATAAGCGACATCAATTTCAAGAAAGATATACGTAACAAGAGATGTAACCTATATGACCTATTACTGATTTCTATCCCCACAACATCATAAAGTATCAAACTATTGATTTTATAATTAAGTTATCGTTGCATGATCTTCCCGATTTAGATTACAATCTTTCGCGCATTCGTAGAAAACATATTGAATTATAGTGCTGTGGGATGGTTGAAAAAAATATGAAAGGTCTCATTATTAATTATACGATGGCAGAAATGAAGTAAAGATCACGCGATATAAATTTTAATCTAATTGATATAAGCATGAGAAAGTTGTAGAATAAAAGAATAATTTTTATTGCGTAAAAAAAGAAAACTAATAATATCTATCGATCGGAACAGAACAATACAAAACAATTACTAAAACAATAGCAACGACTTGATGAGATAGATAACAATAAAGTCATTCATCTTTATCACCGAAGTCTTTTATTTGCGTTCTAATCTTTTTAGATAATACATACAAGAGAAGAGTTATACAATTGGGATAGTTATCTTGGCTCAATTCGTTACCAATACATTATATGATTTGATGATTGCTATGATTATAATAATAAGTCTTATCAATTGAATAGCTCGTTATCTTAATATGAGTAATTAAGATACAGCTTTAAATAAAGTTTCGATCTAATTAATGATTTACTGATAGTCAATGATTTGAGCCAGGATGAAATCATAACTAAATAGTTGATGACAATAATCTATTGTAGCTTAAGTTAGGAGAAGAGATTGATGGTTAATTTGGTGGCAGTTTGTAGGATGAAGGAAATTATTCAGTAAGCTGAAGGGGTGGGGAAAATTAGCCAATAGACTGTAGTTTCCCCTTTTATGACAGGTGATCAACGCTATTGAAGACATCGGCAACAACACAGACGTCAAGACACAAAAAGATGGCAAAAATTAAAATATAAATTCAAACTGTCAATGTATTGAACGATTATTGGGATTTACTTGTCAAAACAAATCCTATCTAATACGAGAATTATCCGATTTTAGCATTACTACAAATAACAACAACACTTTCTTCCTGTCATCATGGTGTTAGAATTGAAGAAAAACTAGCTTAATTCAAAATGGAATGATCAGCTTAGTTTTATTGCGTTTACTCTTTAAAACTCAATTTAAAATTGATATCCTACTTATTTCTATAAACGACTACCATGATCCTTATTAGCGTCCTATCCAATACGAAAAGAGATAACAATAACAGTACTGACAACGTCAGTAAAAGTTATTCTGTTCCATCTCTTTTCCCTGCTATAAATAACATAGCCATTCTACTTATTACTCGATATCAGTATTTAAATACATTAAGTATCTTCAACAGATCAGCCAATAAAGTCAAACGCGAAAGTTAAAATTACTTTTATGTAGATCAGAAGTAATTTACTCTGTCATCGCGTTACATCATCGATCATCATACAATGCAACGAGTTGATTATTCTAGTTTAACTAATTATGTTTTCTATTCATAGCTTTTAATTTCTTTTGTAACAGTCTTCTAATATTGTAGCACGATAATTTTTAGCGCCATTGAAATTTGTGGATCATTTTTTAACGATCATAGAAAAATGGAGAAAAAATGGTTTCGTTTTATGTATAGTTGTTCGTATCTGTACAGTTATTAAATAGGATATTTTATGGTAAATATAAATGATATGAAATGATTTGAAATTGAATAGCTTAAGCCAATAACTCGTTGCTTTTTTACGGCAAAGATAAGGTTGAAAACAATCATTTTTCATCTAACAAACAACAGCTTGCATCTCTATCCTAGATTTATTTTAATATGAAGGAGATATAATCCTATGTGCATATAATTTATGTTTAAGAAATAGAAGACCCTTGCTATATGAAATTTTACTTGAAATCCAAGCCTAATTTGGATTTTCGGCGTCACTATCGGTTGTTTATCGCTTTTTAACTATTTCTACTGGCTAAGCAAATAACAAAGATCAAATAGTTAAGAGAAGGTCTTTCTTTAATTTATTTTAATATAGATGGAGAGTACAAAGTTACGCCCTTATATTTAACATCATGTTAATCTTCCCTCTAATAACCTACTGAAAGCTATTATTCCTTCAAATAGAGGATTGCTCATTAATAACGTAATTGGTCGTTATTAAAGTGAGAAATACTTGATGTCGCGTCATGTATGCTTATCTTTAGTTCGTTAATGACATTAAAATAATGGATGGTCAATTTTTCTTGACTGGGTAAAGTTAATCAATACATTTTATGTCCAGAAGTAAAAGCAACACCTGGATAGACCCGATCCCAAAATATGAGCTCGATAACGATGTTCATGCAAAGGATACATTGTTCAAAATAAATCTATGCACCCTTAATCAGATTAACACCGCAACTGTATACATTTCTACCTTCGTCATCATTTTACTTATTATCTATCGTAGAATTGTTTTGCATTTTACGAATGGACTGAAATTAAATCAAACTTAACGGTATACAAATAATGATTAAAAATAGGTTCAAAGTCAATAAAACGGCAATAGCTATTAACGGAGGAGAGCAAACATTCCTCAGCTTAATTAGCAATAAAATTTAAACTGAATAAAATCGAGTAGTAACACTGTAGTCTATAAGACAATAAATTCTCTGTAACGGAATTAAAGCAAGCTTAAAATTACTGCTACTAGACTATTTTTAATTGCTGAGAACTAGTCAAATTCTAACTGTATATCAACAAAAGTACACAATGAAGACCTAACGATGTACTAGCTATATACGGGTAATTGTGAAGCATACTAAAAGGATAAATCTTTAAATTCAATCTTAAAGTAATTGCTAGGAGTCTAGTACTAGTGATATTCGGAGTAAATAAATTTATATTAATCTAATTTTAATTTATGGGCCCGTATTGAGATGTACTCATCGGTTTCAGTTAATTAACGTGTCCAAGGCGTTGTATTATA